TAGCAAGGGCTATTTTGCACGATTTGCCTTAGTGGAAATGAATTTATCCATGCTTTTTCCTATTAAGAACAATTTGGATCGATCCCTTTTGGAATCAACTAACACGGCTGAAGGTAGGAGCCCAGGTAAGTTTAATTTAAATTGTGCTTATACAAACAGACCTGTGAATACAAAACACTTGACCCTCCTGGAAGTCACTAGTCCAATACAACGTAATGTGGTGTCAAGTCAACTAACTGCAAGGACAGAGTAGCCAGCCAAGACTTTGACCTAGCAGACACATTTAGCATCATTTTGACCAGCAAGGCACATAAAACAGCCATCTACCAAATTGGATTTTCGAAGACGTTGGGCTTACTTGCAGCACTTTACATCTTACCCATTGGTATTTAATTGCCACTAGAGGATTTTTTACACAAAAACATGAGTGCTTCTCAAGTAAAATTTGTAGGTAAAGGTGGCTTTGGAAGCATTACATGCTAGGCTGCAAGTACGTGACTTTTCGAAAAAAACTAAAGCACTTAAAGAACGCTCTTCTGGGTGTGTTTTGGTGGTTTTCATATTTCCTGAAATTAATAGCTCTCAACCATTGTGTGTGACTGATTCGAGGGCCATTTGAAGAGCCCACAATCCTTCGATTGGCCCCAAAATACATTTTGACTGTATCGCGATTGGTTACTCTCACTAAACCTCCGGAAAACCATAATGCACTGTCGGCGTTGTACACGAGCATTTAACGTAGCAGATCAATATTTAAGTTGTAGGATCCTTGTCTGTTCCTTAGAAAAAGATAAATGGATTTTAAAAAGGCCAGTTGATACCACATTTATTTTGTTTTTATTCCTATCCAGTCCGGGTTTTAACTTGATTCTGTTAAGTCGCACATCAGCATAAGAATATCAAGCAGGGAAGTGAGTTACTCGTCAATTAACAGCAATGAGATAACATGAGACTTGGAATTTTCCCCGTGGAGGGAATCACACAGCAGAACGAGACGAACTAATTTCCAAATTCTTAGGTAAATGAATATCATTTAAGAATAGATTACCTTTTCTTGTTTTAAGTAATTCAAGTTACTGTTGACACACAGCAGAAAAGTGATTAAGATTTGTAAAATGCAATGAGTTTTCTGATATAACGTAATGGCCAAATACCGCGTGGTTTTACGAAACGCACAAAATGGGCCGTGATGTTTAGGCATGCTTACAAAACACGCAAAGAGATAAAAGGGTAAAAGCCAGAATACTTGCTATATTCGCGCTTTTGACCCGAAATACAACATGCGACATGGGAGTGAATAGTCATGTTTGCAACAACTCACGCTCTGTAATCTGCTTTGCCTGAAACGAAATTCTTTCCATTGCCAATTGCACGGCAAAAAACAATGTCTTCGCCTAGTGAAACGGACAAGAGTAAAATAAGGGCATTTAGCATGCAGCAAAGGTGGATTTGTAAGCATCTATTTTATCCACCCAAGGAGGTAATTTCACATCATTCAAATTTCGGCTTGGATACTTTTTCTGAAATGGTCGTTGTACTTGGGTAAAAGTGGTGTTTTCCACTTCAAAGGTTGGCAATTTTTCCCCAGACCCCATTAGTCGAGAAAAACACCGGACATATCCCTTTAATTTAGATTGGGTTTAATTTCGATTCGAGAGCTGTCCCGAAATAATTTAAAATTTAAATTTTGCTGGGACACTTTTTTATCTTAGCTTGTCCCTCGAACTTATGCATATTTTTTTATCACTCTGGAGATAATTTAATTAGCGCAGAACCCATTAATTTATTTTGTGTGCATTCTTATCTTGTTTTAGAAGTCTTCATTCTAAATTAGAAAACACCCTGACTTGATGTGAGAAAACCCCTTTTTGTTCTCTAATTTCTCCACTACATCTCGCTTGCTACGGAATTGTCAAGGGAAGAAAAAAGGCGTGCACTAACTTAAGCTCGTTCGAGAAAAACCACTGACAAAAGTAAAGAGTACATTAACTTATAAAAAAGGCAATGTATTGTCGTGAATCCTGTTTATTCAACCCCCTAATCCGGTCACTCCACCTCCTACACAGGGTTCCCCTTGTCGCAGAATGTCGCCAGCCGCTCGACTCCTCAACTCCCCCCTTCACTAGCACGAATATTTACCTTGGAGTGTCCCCACCCATAGGTCTCGATGTTAGCGCATGTATGACGCACACATCCGAGTTATAAATACACACGCGCAAACACCACACACGACACAACGACACCAACGTGGTCGACCTCTGAAGTAAACGCTTGCGTCCGTCATCTCCGGCCTTTTCCTTCATCGCGGATATCAGGCAAGCGTAATCGGACCAGGGTTAATTCCGTGGCCCCGGCGTGGTTCAAGACCACGTGCTGGGGCCCACAACAATATAATGCTATTTCCCTAACAATGTTCCTTCGTTATAAAGCTTTGGATTAATGACGCACTACATCAACAGAAGGAATTCTAAGTTACGTGAAAAGGTAAAAGCAGGCATATCTGAAAGGCGTATACGGTAGAATAGACCGTCCAAGCAACTCTTGTTAGAAATTTCCATAAAAATTTTAAATAAATCGGGTAAAAATTAAAAATTTCAAACAGTAATAATGAAGCATTCAGGTGTCAGCCAGCCACAATTTAAATTTTTTCCCACATGCCAAACGCTGTTTAAACCGTATTTTAGGTCTAGATTTTACTTGTAGCTTTATTGATTACCACCTCTAGATTTAAAACAGACATATTTGCAGTTTTTAAAACAGGTCAGTTAATCTATTTTCCATTTTTGGCTGCATTGTGCAATTTTTTGCAATTGTTGTGCTGCAATATGCCTAATTTTAAACAAAAAACAGCTCATAAGGCTAACCTTTTTGCAGTAGAGTTGCTTTAGGATAACCCGATTATCGCTTTCTTCTATTAGGACACAGTGTTTGCTTTTTGGAAACACTAGAACTGCCAGGAGTTTTGATAGGTTTCTGATCACATCGATCCCACCACCGAGTCCTCGCAGAACGTAGGTAGAATCGTAGATCTACAATTAAAAAAGCCTCAAATAATCAACTATTCTTACGAATAACTATGAAATGTACGGCCAACTTAATGTTGTCTACAGGAAATTGTTATAATGTTTAATGTTTACATTCAAAAGGCTAAATAGAATTATCGTAAAGTGCATGGTAATTAAGGACTTGAGAATCGTCTAATGCGTCTAAAAAGCTACGCAGGATCGTGTGGTAAAAAGAAACTAGACGACTAATATGTGGGCATACTTTGATACCGGAACAGCCGGGATCTTGGACTGGACTATAACCAAGCAGCCAGTCGCCTTCCCTCTGTTTTTAATTTGATGCACCAACTAAGTTAAAGTAAAGCTTACACTAATGCACCATGGACTGATCCGATATGGCCTACTTGAAATTCGAACTGCCAATTACCGAATATCTACTAATGCAATTTTATTGGCTGACGACTCACCTAACCAGACCTCACTGGTGAAATACTTTCGTAGGATCTGAGCTCCAAAATTACCCTTAGTCCTTAAATATCACTAAAACAATGTTCCGATGTATCGTCCTTTTGTTCCTGCTAATCATAGGACCGGATATGGGTTCGCCAAGTCTGCTTTGTGTGCTAGATGATTTGATTCGTCGACAATGAAGCATGAAACTCTAGCGGGGGAGGGGGATATTTGTAGCGGACTAACGCGATGGCGCCTGAGTGAGCTCTATTTACTGACCTGACGGTGACAATTATTCATCCCCTTTTCTTTGGTTACTGTTATCATACGCCTGTCAGCCGTTCACTCATCCACACACCAAGACACACACTTGGCTGGCATGACGCTAATAAACGATCGTGTCCCCTGTCACCTTTATCCACTCGATTCTGGGTTAGTACGGGCTGTCAACTAGAGGGTTGTAAGGTAGTGCCAAACTTCAGCTACTACAAAACTACAACGCGTCTGTTAGCATGTATTAAGAGCCTAGGTCAGATTCTATAACAGGAAATATATCAACGCAGATAGTATTCATTCATTCGAAAAGAAAACTAACAAAAATGGTAGTAAAAATTTGCTATCTGGTAGTTGCCAGCGCACAACTTTTCATTATTTTTGGCTAAATGGGTTATTTTATGCATGCAGGGAGATTACGTTCTAATATGAGGATGTATTGTATGCTTGAATCACACTGAGGTTGTGATGTGTCTCGACCGACAGTCATGCGAATGCAGGACATCTAAATGGACAATTGACTAAATTTACCTCCAATATAGAAGCCGCACCAGGTGAGGAATGAGCACTGCCGGTCAATACAACGAAGGCCTGTCGGTAGAGGCTATCACTCAGCGCGGGCCACAGGTCTATTGCATTGCCGCTCTAAATGGCAATTGAAAGTGATAATTGGGTGGGTTAAAGCAGACCTCAAAATCAATGCAAACCACCTACTTCTTTCCTCTTTCAAGACTTAAGTAACCTTGCTAAGCCCTAGTCATCAATTGAGTTTTGGGCACTGGACATTTTTGTACGTCTTAGGCGCCTTATGCATGAAAGTGCAGCAATTACCCCTTATTTCGTACAATCAGTCTTCAAATAGCTTTGTTGTGTTATGAAATTATCTTCTTGGGGTGTGTCTTGGCCACCCCCTTTCGTACGTTTGCGTCTCAAAATGCGGCATACCGAAACTGGTGAGGTCACACCAAAACAAATTGTGAGGCATGTGAATTTACTTTGTGCAGTTATCTGGCAAATGTTTTCGGGGGTGGTGCCATGAAAAGGATTTGTAAACCTAACTTATTGGCTAAATGTATTCTTTTATCATGCTTTGAATCAAAAAAATGCCCTTTCCACATAACGCCTTTTGTTTAAAAGTCTGGGATAGATTAGCTCATACTGAACTAACTTCGAATTTTTGACAACTTTGTGTTTAGCCAAGCATATATTACATCATACTTGGAATTAGTTTTTAGTGCTACAAGGTACCTACTGGTCGTTACAAACGAATAGCTAGAAGCAGAAGGAAATATATCTGACCAGTTGAGCAACGCAGTCCAACAAACTGGAGATTGAGGCAGAGAAGTGTGCGCCCAGGCGACAGCGACCGAGCAGCCTGTAGCCCACGTTGTAAATGTCCTGTTTCGCTGTTCGCAGAAGCACCATGAATGCAATGAGATTGTGCAGCAGGGAGGCCAGAACACGGTCCTCCTTCAGGTCCAGCAGCTTCTTCTCAGGCATCGACAGTTCCAAGTAGCGTTCAAGCATGCCCGTCGGGTCATGGTCGAGACCTTTTAATTCAATAAAACAGAATTTACCTGATTTTGGTCGGTACTTTAAGAAGATTACACACATCTTTTTCAGGAAAACGTGCCAGCTTCTTCTAGGGTCTGCCAGAGTCGTGGTATGCTTAAATGTAGGGGTACGTAATTTACAGACAGCGATCCACAACAGGACGCATATGCGACTGTTTGGGGCCTTCTGATGTCTCATCTTCTTTAGACGCTTAGCAAAGACCCCACTGGAATGTAAATCCTAAAAGCCACCGTCACACAAGAATGAGGGCGACTCGTGCTGTTTCACATCACCATCTGAACCACCCTTAACGTTGCCACTGTTCCACTGAATTCGATCCAAGGACATTGGCTACAAACAATGAATTTGGCTCCCACGTTTGTCCTTTAGTATTCATTCACATGGAAAACATAATGCGCCGTTGTGTTTCTGAGCAAATCATTCCGCTTGCTCCAGAACAGAGACTCACATTCAGTGCGAAATTGAAAAGTGTGTAAATATTATTCTGAGCTCTAATTTGTAGCAATAATTTTTTTAAGAGATTAAATTCTGCGTATTGTCTACACTTTACAATTGATTGCTGTGCTCAGCCATAATTGTTTTGTTTAGGGAATAAAAAAGACACATATTTCGGTGCCAACATCCAAAAATATAACCATTTAAACTTTGTATACAAAGACAACAGAATTCAGCAAATCACAGGTAAATTTGTCGACCAGCTGCTAGCATTATCCATCTGGACCCTAGGTCGATTTTCCTCAAGAGAAAGATGATCTGAATTGAAGATGGCACGCGATTACCTAATATTTTTGCTTCGGTCTGACGTCATTTATGAAAAATGGCAAACTCTTATGCCAACCAATTAAACTGCCGTGGTTTTGGATTTAACTGTCAAGTGAGATAACAGGTACAGTAGACTGATGGATGTAAATTTAAAACAATCGTTAAGATGTGTCGTGTTTCTGTGTGACCCTCACCAGCAACCAAATTCTACTGGAGGTGTCCTTGCGCCAAATTCAGGTATAGAGAGGAATTTGAAATGCTTTGGTGAATTTTTGCTTCCTGTGGTGCTAATAAGGGCAAAATATGTGTACAATAATAGCTTAGGCCAAAGTACTTTATGTGCCAATTTCATCTGTCAAATGAGCTAGTAAAATCGTAGATGAAAATTCCGTTGAGGATTCGCTAACATCAGACTAAAAGGTCGTACGGATTAATGGGAAAATGAAAGTTGCCTAAGGAAGAATTATTGAATGGACGAAAGTGTAGAATTAGTAAAATAAACTAGCATTTATCAGTTAAGACGCTAGGCTTCACAGCAATGTTTGTTTAAACTTTTCATCATCAAATACATGTGGGGAATATCACGTAGTGGCTAATCAGCGTCTTGATAATGATGGTGGTGCAAAGACTATTCAAAAAAATATTCAATCAAAATTTTATTAGCTAACCACGAGTCATTAAGTTACAATGTAGGAAATAAGGCAGTAGTTTTAATTATAATCTTTTTTGTTATAGTGCCTAAACAGATTTATTCACCACCATTCCCAATGTCTGTCCATGGGTACTGGACTATTTATTTATGACACTCTCAGCTGCGTAGTATATGTTAAAACTAGCAGTTTTGACTACCAATAAGTCCTTGCATATGTGAATTATTAGCATACAGTGCAAATATTTTTAAACTGTTCTATACTGGCGATTGTAGTTCGGAACTTCGAAATCTACCGAATTCTGATAACCTATGAAACATTTTAATGCATAACTACAAGAAAGCTAGATTGTTGGTCCGATGTAAGTTGGAAGCAGTGGATGGGCCTACTTCGAGCAGTGAGCTGGTCTTAAGAGGGCACTTTAGCTTACAGATGAAGACGATTTTTGAGGTACTGGAAACCAGGTTGGCGTAATTTCGAAATGAATTGATGTGCGTTCGAAGGGATTTATTCCCATTAGCTAAAATCACCTGGATCTGATCACGTACAAAAAAAAATTAAGAACAATCTTCTTATCAGATAACCCCGAATGTCCTAGTGCCTTGCCAAATTATCGATTCGGCCATTGTTGACATTCCATGACAAACCACAAATCCCGACTCACCCAATAGGTCTCTTTCACGGGCCACAGCGTCAAGAAACGCATCTTCCCAAAACTGAGGCTGATCCCAGATGCGCGACCGCTCCTTGGGACCAATCAGAGCTTCGAAAACATAATAGCGAGGCTGGTGATGATTTCGTAGGTCGAGCTGATTAATGACACAGCGGACAAGTTTTCCATGGCTGTATCTGTTGGTTCCGGAACTTCTGCATTTGAATTCAGTTGGGTCATCTGTGATAACTAAATGTAACAAGCACACTCACAACTGAGCTTGCCGCACACACTTAGAAAACGATTGTTCTGTCATAAAGGGTTGCGTCCTACTGGGTCAAGTAACTTTTATATTTCTGACCACTAATCGATTTTATTTTTTTAGCGCGCTGCAAGTATTGATATACTTTTAAGCATAGAAAGTGACTGGACTTAGCCAGACTTAACACTGACTAAATTTCAGCATTTTTACCTCCTATATTACTAATAGGAACACACTGTTCCAATTAATAGATATCTGAGCTCTCGTCCAGTAAACTTTCGTTTGTTCTGACTGGAGCACATTAAGTTTAATGCGTTTGATTAGCTGTTTACAAGAGATAAGTTGTATTCATTGATGCAGGATCCCTAATTGCCTTCTATAAATGGAAGCTTTCAGTTTGATGGCAAACGGAAGTACTCGTCGTGCATTTAGCCACACACGAAGTCTGCTGCTACCAACCAAAACTATTCACAGTTGCAATTAACTTGTCATTGGACTGATAAATTTGTAATGCAATGTAAACTAGTAAAACTATTAATATTTGTTGCTCAACAACTGTTTATACAATTCCAACTGCTAACAGTTTTAAATTGTTCAAGTCATGTGTGGAAATCCAGATACTAACTAAAAGGAGATTTACATTTAATTCGAGTGAATTGATTAAGCAAACATCCTACTTATCCCAGGTGAATTAACCACAAAAAGAGGACAATTGGGTTAGGATACATTCCAGCAACTTTGCATATTTCGATTAATTAAGCGACATTATTATGCTACCAAACAAACTGTCTGACTTCACAAAGCGCAAATAACAGTACTTTGTGAATGTTTGCGCCGTTAGCAAGCCGTAAAAGCGATGAAACGATGACCAATAGATGCCCATCCTTTGTATAGCATTGCGAAAGTGTCAAGAGAACTCGAATTCGATCAATCCCCCAAGCTTTTCAAACCGTTTGGAGTTTTGTGAAACATCGCAGTCTTTTTTCGTAATTTCTTTGCATATCTGCAATTTTCCACTTATTACATTAGAGCATCGGAGTGCTTTAATATCAATATATGAGCGGATACAATAGTATAAGATTCTGAGCCAACATAATTTATAATTATTGTGATTTGGAGCTATCGACCTAAGCCTGGGTGAACGGCCATATTTACAGTTGTTATGAAAAATTCCATTGTTTTACGGTGCACTTTAGCAGTGCAATAAATGAAATTTTTACCTGTACGAGTCCCATGCAAGCTGGGTCTCCTGCCAGGAATTCATGATATAAAGTTACGTAACATACCTTCCCGACCGAACAGCGCGTTAGGATCCGAAGTATCGTCATTTGTAACCAAATGCCTCCCTTTTGACCACATTGGAGAAGCCGTAGACGATCCAGATTCACTCGCTGCACTATCTACAAGTTTGTTTGATTGAGCATTTGCATTGAAAGTTAAATAATTGGTAGAGTCACAAATGAAAAGGTACGGATCTTCTAGAAAACCGCGTCATCCATCAAGGTTGTCCGGATTTTCTGCTGCACGTTAAGCAAAGTAAAGTAACTGCTTTGGGTTTAATAACAGAGTAACGATAAACTGCATGACAGTATTTCTCTTCAGCTGAGTGTTTTATACCGCGCAACACAACTATTTCCGGCTGAAGCCAAGGACTCTGAGGGGTGAGGTAAAAGTTTCTCAAGTGAAATCAGAACTCCCAGTATGTGGGATATTTAGTGTCTAGAGGAGGTGGCGGAAACGGACTTCTTTGCAACGCCAGAACCGTACTCATTTGAGCGAAACACGAAAACAAATGTTGACTTTATTTAGCTTGAATTTTATGAAGCGATTTTCTCGTCAACGTCAGAATAGATTGCTAGGCGCTCTTAACTACGAATCCGTAAAGAAGCCGTTATTGTAAATAGATCTATAATAATAATAGTAAATTTTCTGGTGTGTGATAATTTTGTAGACGTTCTGTCAGTCATGTGACAAGAAATAAAGAAAAAACGTGTCACCTTTGGCGCTGATCGGCAAGTGTAACTGCGGCGATAGCGATGCACGTTCTGAGTGAATGATTAAGTCCAGAAAGAAGACAATCCTTTCCAATAAACTGACCATTTTTGGAAATACTACAATTTGCATTACTTGTTACAACACTTATTGTCCACCTTGATTGTTAGGCATTGAATTTTTTTTCCAGAATTTAAAGGTAAAACTTATAAGAACGGACGAAGCATGCATTTGTCAAATTAAATTTCAAAGAAATCCATGTGATAGAAGTCTGTGAAGCAGATTAATGAAAAACATGCGCCTAGCGAATGCTTTATAACGCAAATCCTCTCAAATGAGCCCCTCGTTTTCGACCTTGATAACCCTGGGGACAGAACAATTAATCTAGAATCCGTTGTAATTTACTCTCTTGGATAAAGGTAAAGTAAGTATTTATTTCTTTGCATGCTGAAATAATATTACCTTTGGTACTGTTGATTAATAGCAGTTCTGTTCATTAAAGCAAAATCAAGACTTCGTGTGGATCTATAGCCGATTAAATTTCATTTCTTGGAGAGTTTCATGACAAACAAACAGTGACAACACATTACCCAATAAATGTTTTCTCCCATCTTCTGTATTGCCAAAACATATTACTTTACTGTCCTCTTTTCTAACACTAGGTTTTGTTCCTCAAGGTTGTGTAAAATGTGCATTTTTATTCGCCTTCACCACATCCCCAGGCTCTACTCCCGTGCATGTAAGGATGTCGGTTATCCTCTCAGTTGAAATTGCCTTGTGGTGGTTTTAATTAAGCAAAACATGTCCTTGCATGATGATCCGAAATAGAGCTGACAGCGCTTTAGCCGCGGCTAGAACCTAGTAAACACGCTTCGCTAGGAAAAGTTCTCTGTTTCCAAAATCTGCACAAAAAGGAAGAAACTTGGGTAATTGATACTAGTAGAAAAGCGGATCGCAGTTAAAAAGACCATGTCGGCTGTGGGTAAAGGAGAATTCAAGTAAATTTTTCAAGCGCTTTGAAATGATAAGTTTTGTGGTGAATTGTGCTGAGTTACCTTCGTCAACTCAGTCGCTTCTCCTTATAACTTTCCACAGACCTTTTTTCCAACGAAAGCATCTAATAACACACCCCTTTGTCACTTGACGCCTCGTCATTCAAATGGCCGACCTTTTACCAGTTCATCCGAACCCCATCGGTTTACAACTACCACCTGCTATATCCCCCTATGCTTGGCGTTTTCTGCACCACGACGCTCAAGCACAACTGGGTTCAACCGGCAGAACAAACGGTTGCATTCTCGTCCTATTTGGTCTCCTAAACTGGAGTTTCAACGAGCGGCAGGTAATGAAAGACCGACAGCTAATGGTGCGGCGTCAAGCCACGTACACCGCTGCACCAGTGTACAAATCTGCTACTTGACTTCATGAAGAACAGCAACGGGTTAACTATAAGCTTCCAAATCATTTGCATAATCCTTTTTTTGCACACAAAGTAAGAATATTTACGTAAACTTTCCTGCCGATCACATTTCCCAGCGGTGATGGTGGTGTCTGATTTTGAGGGCCTGTCTACATCCACGTTTATAAATGGCACAATCTCAACTATCGAAAATCACACGCCAAGATAGCTGTCCCTATGATTATCACTTTGTCGCCAAAAATTGTAGACAGCTATTCGGACCGAGGTTGTCTGCCACACACGGAGTTAACTGCAACGTACCGAGCTGATAAGCACATGTCTGAACGCGCATTTGAAACATCAGATTCGTTCTGTCTAAGCTGACAGCAGATGGACTCATTCTAGTTCCCACAACGAGTGCTTGTACAACAACAGAATGCGAGACAACATTTATTAGACACGTGCATGCAGACATTGAAGTATTTCGATAGGCAACAAGGACATGACCTTCAGATTGCCGATCCTTGGAACTACGACGAGATGGCAAAGCTTGGAGTCCGTCAGCGGCTGAAACTGAGATTAAACTGTTGCGTCTCAGCTCGCCTGCAGTTGTCTTCAGCCATGAGGCTAAAACACGAAAAACGTAGGACTGTATTAATTGTGACACCGAGAGATGAGCCACAGACACTAATAATCGTCAGAGGAATCTGTTTAGACAAGCTTCCACCAGTAAGCCTTCGGTTGTACACCACCAAAATGCTGTTTTTTGAGCATACTTCGGAGATGTAGGTGGCGATCTAACTCGGTGTATACCAAAAATAGATACTCTACCTGTTGAGTCTGACGTCGCTACCTCGAAATTCCTTCGAGATCTGACTTACCAAAATAAAGATGAATTCGCATTTAGGTGTTGGAAACGCATCGCTCAAATGAATATTCATAATTCTTGATTAGCCTGCGAATGCTTCCCAGACAAAACAAATCCCAGAAGTAATCATGTTCAACTCGTAAAATTATACTCCGACAATCAATCAGTTGACACCTCAATGACCATACAAGCCGAGCGAACACAAATTTACAGGTTTACCTAATCTTTACGATAATAATGAAGTGGCTGAACTCAGACAAACTTCAGAAAATTAGCCACGCGTTTTTGAGACAGCCATTCGAAGAACTCAGCAATACAAAACTGGCATAACTTACTTAGACTGTCGATGTGATTTTTTTTCGACTTTGTAAAAGATATGTTCTCCTTGCTACCTTGAAGTGATGTAGGCTAAGTATTGACATAAATAGAAGAGGCCATTAAGCAACAAGTAATTTTTTTGTATAGTTCAAAGATAAACTAGCAGATTTTTAGATTGTTTGACTGAGGTTGAGGGTAATTTAGTATGGAGACGAGAATTGTCTCTTTGGCAACATGCGGCGAAAAAAAACAACTTGAACAACGACCTTGAGGCACGAAAATGCATTCAATTGGCATAGATATCCTATGTAAAGGCATACAAATCACGCACCTTTCGTTTCGATGCGTTCAGTTCGTGTTCGAGGGCGATCGATTGGTCCCAGAAGTGTGTGTGAGCCATTTCGAGGAGCAGGAAGACGCTCC